TACTGACTGTACTAGCACTTCATTACAATCATAACACTTTACAGTTTCTCACTTTGAACTGTTTCTTGCCAGGAACATCACACTTAATCAAAACAAGCAAACATTATTTCAATATTATTGATATTATTGTAGTTTTAATTTAAAGTAACCAGGAAAATGCTGCAATTATGCAGAAGAGATGGTTGCATGCATGAGTTCAATTTAATTAGGTTTTCAAATTCTGTTAGGTGACATTCTGTTTTATTACATTCTGCTACAAATTGAGAATGCAGTACAGTTTATGAAATGAAGCAGAAATAAATATGCCTATGTTTGTTTAATAACGATAAAAAGTCACAGGTTACACTGTTTCAAAGTAAAATTATAAGTGGCAGTTACTTGAAATAAATTAGTAACACCTTTCATTCATACAAACCTGTATGATGCGGGTTTTGACTTAATATTCCCTCACGTTAAATTAGGTACATTCGTAAGTCATTTAGAGATAAGGAACAACTGGACTTATCACTGCTTTTGGAAAAGTACTTTTAGAATCACCCTGTTCCCTTATGAACAAAGGAAGGTAATTATTTCAATCGGCCATCTAAATAATGCCATTGAAGTCTGAAATGAAGACCAAGGTGCAGCGCATTTTCAAAGAATTTGCAAGGTATACTTGTTGCCTGACAGTATTTTTAAAGCAAATTACTGATGTTTTAAGTTAGAAAACATGTCAACTATTTAGGGAGGAACAAGTTCAGGTTAGTAACAATGAAAAAATGTGACAAATACAGTGTGCTTTTGTCTGAAAAGTAAACCACAATATTTCATTGCTATAAAGTTTACTCTTTGGTCTTCTGTGAGGTATTTCTCAATCATACAAAATTTTGCCTTCTCTTTTGATGTGATCCACTATTCATGAAACAATAAAACACAGGCTAAGAGTTGCATCTGGACATCAGAGGACTTTATCCTGTTACGTACAACAGTGCAGTTGCAATACTTTGCAGAAAGACAAACAGGCGTGGAGTAAAGATTTTGAGATAGTAGGAACTGCTGATGCTGGAGTTTGAGATAACACAGTGTGGGGCTGGAGGAACACAGCAGGCCAGGCAGCATCAGAGGAGCAGGAAAGCTGGCGTTTCGGGTCAGGACCCTTCTTCAGAAAATCTTTGTCCTGATTTTCTCAAGACACCCAAGAAAGAAATGTAACTTTTTTTGCACATCCAATACAGAAGTGAGTCTTTTTTGCACCACAAACTATTTTAAATGGCATGAGAGCCTTGGTGACAGGACCAGTATTTGGTGCCAATAACTGCTTACTATTAAGGCCCCAGTAGTGAACCAGCTTTCTTGACTTTGGTAGTCCAGACAATTTAGTTACATTGTTGTCAGAGAGGGAGTTTGGGGAAAATTCTTTCTTGAAAGCAAATTCAGATCCATGAACGAAACTGAGACAAGAACGCTGTTGAATTGATTTAAAGACTTGAACTGTTTTTAAAATGCATTTAAAGGGATTGAATCTGCTGGTCTGCACTGTATTCAATCGCAGTCAATACCCGCATGTGCAATTCAATTGTGCGCTCTGAAGTCGGCAACAAAGATTTACTTTTTTACAGGTTTTAACAAACTGTTCTCAGTTATTCATGAATAAGTCCCACCTGCTCCTTTTCAGGTGCCACAGATAGGGAGCTTCCTCTCACATGTAATTGATATTACACTTTTTGAAAATTAAAAACGAGAGAAATTTTCCTCACAATAGTTCATCTATTTCTGTTTCAAGGTAGCATGGTGCTGTAGCATGTTGCACTAGCAGAGAGGCATCCTACAGTAAAAGTTGTCTAAGGAAGCCAACTTGTGCAAGCTCAGAGAAAGCAAGAACTGCAGATGCTGGAGTCAGAGACAACACGGTGCAGAGCAGGAAGATCACAGCAGGCCAGCCAGCATCAGAGGAGCAGGAAGGTTCACCTGAAACATCAACTTTCCTGCTCCTCTGATGCTGCCAGCCTGCTGTGTTCCTCCAACTTGTGCCAGCTGTCTGCACAATATATTCTGTTCTTTAGTACAGGTGCTCAGTAGAAGTCACTCATAATCACTGAACACAGACTAATGTATGAGTTAAGTTTGAACAGCATAAAAAGGAAGGAGAGAACACAAACCTCTCCTTGCAACTCGAAACCTACCGTTCAAAATAGTCATCAGCCCAACGTAATCAACATTGATTATAATGTCTGTAATCAATGTGGCAAAATTATTCAGCACACTGTCACTTGTTAAAAACCAAAGAAAAGAAAAATCAAAACTTCTTGTCAGCTTCAAACCGATGATTGACATTTGAAAGTAGCAGCGTAAGTTAACTGACGTAGCTTACATATTTAAACACATCTTTGACTGTTTAAAATAGTTGCAACTGTTTGTGAAACTTCCTACAACTTTCTTTTTCCTTTATTTTGGTTTTATTCAGCTGAAATTGTGCTTCTGAGAGCTGATGAAATCTTCAAGACTTATCTTGACATGTTGGGAATATGTATTTCGGTTCCCAGTTTGAATTGTTCAACGAGACTTCAAAATCAAAATAGATAGAATATAGGAAATTTGCCTCACCACATCTTCATGTTGAGTTGGATTTATTGATTTTTTTCTTTCCCCATCCTGAAAAATAAAAATGACAGACATTGGCAAAAAAAGCAGTAGATACTTGTATTCCTCAGCAAACCGAAGAAACCAAAAGCAAGTCAACTAGTATTTGGCAATTATAAACAGGGTACAATAGGACCAATAGTTTTGCAATGTAGCTCTAAACGTTACACACAGTTAATTTGAATTTATGTTTTGAGGGTTGAAGCTATGGAAACTTCTATCAGCAATGAATTTCACCATCACAATTTTGATCGACACTGATACAACTTTGCAAACTGAAAACTGCAAATCTTCTTATTTGATAATTTAATGTGAAGCAAGGTATCTATTTGAAAGAGTTTTCTCATAAAATAGTTGCTTAAATTATACAGTTCAGAGTTCAGTTCCCAATTATTTTAATTTCAGTGAGAGATTTCATTCCTGTTCATACCTTTGGTGATAAAGAACAGAAAACCCTTCGTGATCATCGCGGCCAATATTAGAATTGCAAGTGCACCAGCAGCACAACCAGCAGCCATAGTAACACTGATTTTAGATGCAAAATCTGTAATGTTAATGTACACTCAAATTTAGGAGTTGCAATATAAACTGAAGGTTAAAATGTCAGGTGCACCATTTTCAATTGTACTGCCTTACACATATGATAAACATAGTACATAAAGTCTCAGCATTTCAATTTTGCTGTATCTTTGTTCAACTGATCTGTGCACAATCAGAAACAAAATGTCTGGAATTTAGAGAAGTAGGTAAACGATAAAAGTAACTCAATTAATGACAAATTTAAAATTAGTGAAAATAGAGCTAATTGCAATCAGTGTTCAGTTCGATAAGCTATGACACAAAATATTAAATTATTTGGTGGGAGTTTAATTGGATTGCATACTGATCAAAGTCAGAAAAAAATACGGAATGTAAGCTGTTTTCAGATTTGCTTGAGTTACTTGTGGAGGTAAACTTCAGTTTAAATAATTTTAATCTCTCTGCAACTATGGACAATTCAGCTCTGAATCAATGTTTAGCATCAAATCGAGTATGTGTCATTCTGATGAATGGGGAAAATCAACTGGACCGTCTGGATGAGTGGAGCTATTTCATACAGTCATAGAGATTTCAACATGAAAACAGGCCCTTCAGCCCAACTTGTCCATGCTGCCCAGTTTTCACAATTAAACTAGTCACACATGCCTATATTTAGTCCATATCCCTCCATACCCATTCCATCCATGTGCCTGTCCAAATGTTTCTTAAATGACAAAATTGTACTCGCCTTCATCATTAACTCTGACAGCTCATTCAAGACACTCACCACCCTCATTGCTGTGTTAAATCAATTGCTCCTCTGGACTCTTGCATGTCTTCCCTCTCACCTTAATCCTATGCTCTCTAGCTTTAGACACCCCTACCATGGGGGAAAGCTGTTGGCTGTCTACTTATCTCTGCTTCTCATGAATTTATAGACCTCCCTAAGGTCACCCTGAACCCCTGTACTCCAGTGAAAAAAAGTCCCAACCTATCAAGCCTCTCCTTACACCTCAAACATTGCAATCCATGTAGCATCATAGGAAATCTTTTTTGCACTTTTTCTAGTTAATAATATCTTTCCTATAGTAAAATGACCAGAAGTGCATGCAATACTCCAAATGTGGCCTGACCTTTCTCAAGAATGAACATTGACCATGCAGCCCTTTGCGAGTCGTCAGCGTATGAACAAAATAATTGTGTGACCTATGTTGAAGACTGTAATCCAGTTGTGGTAAAGTCACATGTGATAACTGCATATCAGCTCCAAACAGCAGGAAGAAAGAAAACTTTAATCCATACAACAGGGTCTAATTTCAACTTTGACACAATCACATGCAAATAATTGTCTTTTCATTTAATCACTTGCAAACTGTCATAACCACTTTCTACATATTTACCATAACCTGTTGATACATGTGCATTCAATGTACCACATGTTATGAAATGTTACCTTTATTCGTGACAGTAACAGTATAACTGGCATTTGCTGGAAATGAGCTTGAAACATGATATGCTTGACAGGTGTAAACTGTCCCGCTTTCAACTGCCTCTCTCAACTCCAAGGTGCTGATGACTTCATAAAGATCCTTGGTTTTTGCCTGTTGTTCATTCCTAAATCCTGTCAATATGTTTGCACCATTTTTGTGCCAAGTAAGGTTAAAGGTTTTTGGGTAAAAGTCAGATGTCCTGCACTGGAGTCGGAGAGAAGCAGAAAACAGTTCTTCAGATGGCACAGAGACAATTTTCAGAGGAGCTGGTGGAGCTGAATGGTAAATAACAAAGAGATAAATCGACTTTGCATCTACTGCAAAAAATGTGCTTTTTAAGTGAACAAAACAATTCATTTCAGCACGACAGTCACATTAATTGTTGCTATGAACAGTACATGAAACTGATACTACATTACTACATTAAAAAATCCCCTCAAATCCTTTCAATGTACCACCTACATTTTCGAAGAAAGAGTTTCCAGAATTTGTTTCCACTTAATAATAGAAACATGACTGAATTGTCATACTGCACCTTTCTTTTGCCAGCAGGATGAGGAATTGGACCTGGAACCTAGGAATTTAACAAAATCTATCCAAGTGATGGGAATGAGACTTTGGCTTTTCTCGTGATGTATGAAACACTTCAAAATGCAGAATATTACACATAATTTCAAGGATATTCATCCTTTCACTCCATATTCAACGACAAAAAAACTTCAAAGTATTGCAGTCAATTTCCCTCCAAAAGCCAAATGCATAAAACTGAAGCATCCTATGACCAAGTGCAGCAAGAACTGGACAGCATCCGGGTTTGGGCTGAAAAGTTGACAGGAGCATGCAGGCCACACAAATGCCAGGCAAACACCATCTCCGATAAGAAACAATCTCACCATCCACCCCTTAATATTCAGTGGCATCTCCATCAGTGAATTGCCCACAATCTACATTTTGGGGGTTACCATTGATAAGAAACAGGACTGGGCGAGCCATATAAATAGAACCGTAGGTCAGAGGCTGGGAATACTGCAGCGACTAACTCAACTGCTGACTCCGCAAAGCCTGTCCACCATCTACAAGGCACAAGTCAGGAGTGTGTTGGAATGCTCCCCATTTGCCTGCATGCCTGCAGGTCCAAACGCACTAAAGAAGTTTGACACCATCCAGTAAAAAGCTGCCCCCTTGATTGGCACCACATTTCGTCACTCCATCACAGACACTCAGCAGCGGTATTGTGTAACTTTAAGATGCATTGCAGAAATTCACCAAAGACCCTGAGACAACACCATCCAAACCTACAATCACTAACATCTAAAAGGGCAAGGGCAGCACTGAGTGGGAACACCACTCAGTGCAAGTTTCTCCCACACCACTCACCATCCTGACTTGGAAATATATCACTGTTCCTTCACTTTCACTGGGTCAAAATCCTGTCATTTCCCCCTAATGGCATTGTGAGTCTATTTACAGCACATGGACTGCAGCGGTTCAAGAAGGCAGCTCACCGCCACCTTGGCAAAGGTCACTAGGGACAGGCAATAAATGCTAGCCAGCCAGTGATGCCCACATCCCACAAGTGACTCATTTTTAATACAGTGTAGATCTCAAACTTTGAGGTGTTACTGATTCATCAAGGTCTCCATATTCTTGATCACATTTCATTTTAAACAACTGCAAATATTTTACACTATATGTCTGTATCTAATAAATTGATTTGTTTACTGTTGTTGATTGTTTTTAAGCAGCTAAGACTCCGTGTTTATCTGCGGTGACACTTACCATATAGAGTAAGTTGCACAGCAGCTTTCACAACTGATATGTGATTGTACAGTGATATGGTCCAGCGTCGCGGACAGTCACATTTAGAATTTTAAGGTTGGCTTCTCCTCTAATTACATGAAAGAACTTTTTGCTATCCTCCTGCAGAAAGGTTTTATTACCTTCTCTCCACCAGTAAGCGACAAAATTTGAATAGTTGAATTCCGAAGAGAAAGGACATTGCATGAGAACTGATGAACATCTCTGCACCGTTTTTCGTATCAGGTCCGGATTCACTTTGGCCGAAATGCTCACAGCAACTGTCAACCAAGGAAACACACTGAGATTAAACAAGAAGGACAGTCTGCACCACCCAAATTACATCATTATTCCATTTATTCCAACAGCAATTTACCATATCTTACTCTTCAATTAATTCTCCCATTTTTAAACTATTGTACTAATTGAATGTTATATTTTTTCTGACAGACCCAGTGGCAACTGAGTTCTGGGAATAACTGACTTGAAAAAAAGACAATAATAAGTAAGCATTAATTTATCAAATCTAGCTGTAAGTTCACATTGTGTCTTGCCTATGAACAGTGAATGCATAGCAAAATAAATGTGTACCTGCACACAACATGCACAGCAGACAGACAGCCATAGTGAATGATGCACAGACATATCAGCGGGTAAAATCTGAGATCATCAGTTGTGACTGAGAACAGGACAGACAAATGCTTCTTAAACGCTTGTCTCTGTTCCAATTTAACCACATACGTATGTGCGCGTCAATGAGCACATGACTAACTTCTGACTGAAAAGAAAATGCATTCCTTTTTAAATAAGATCTGCTGGTTTTGTAACTGGAAACTGCCACAAAAATGATGACTTTAAAGAAGATACACAAGGTATTTCGGAGGTGAGTTTTGGGACTTGATTGAATGGGGTGACGATTTTGCCATTGAAACAAGACGAGTCTGAGGGAGAATTTGGTTGGGACGGACAAAACTGAGATGGGCGGAGACATAGTAGATGGGGAAAAGGTCAGTGACCTTCATATTGAGGTCAGTGATGCGGGATTATAGATTTAAAAACATTGATAGAAAAGCTTAACGGGAAGATGATGAAACAGTTTATCCCAGAGTGTGGTAACTATCTGGAACCCGTTTCCTGAACAGATATCAGAGACAGACACCTTTGACCCTTTCACAAGTTGTTTTTGCTTGGATGTGCACTTGAAGTGCTGTGATCTGCAATGCTTCACACTAAATCCTCGATAGTATGATTGGATTTGTTGGCTCCTTGTTTGGCAGGCAGAGCCAAGTGCTTTTGGTTTTAAGTGTTGTTAACTTCTTAAAATGAAATGTGAAGAAGCAGACCACTGTAATTTGAAGGACATGGAGGTGAACTACTGCTACATCCTTGAATACAACAGGAATGTGGGGCACAGTTATAAACTTCTCACTCCTATACCCTAAAGAACTGAGCAGCAATGTCAGATTAACCTACCGAAATCCCTTTCCTTATTACTTTTTAAAGCTTCTACATAACAGCATTATGTCTTTGACAGCATTTCATTCAGACAATCTGTACAAATTGTTCTCATTGACTCTTGACTATGTAACCCCTTTTCACCAGTGAGTGCAGTGAAGGCATTCGCAGTTATTGAGAGCAAGGAAGACACAAGATTGGTGCAAGGAACATTATAGGTCTTATCAAATAACTGATATTAAAAACAAATTTAAAATTGAGAGTAATTTATCTTCATGTTGGGTTAGTTATTTTGTTGTGTTTAAGTATATTTCTAATTCTTGACATTGTTTCTTTAATTGGCGTGACATACAAACTGGCTATTGAATAATTTGTTTATCTCATTATTCTGGTGCTTCAGCAACCTTTTTTCCAATGTTCCACCTTAGTTCTGTCGTGACATGCTGTCATCATGAGGAAACTGCATCGAGAATTTTCTGTCTCGGGAATCCATTGACTCTATGGGATTACAAGGGCCTTGGAACATGTATATGGCTGTAAATCAGTGATTGTTTCAATCTGTTGTGATCCTTTTCTCACAGAGATGTTCAGATATAACGTTGGTCCTGTTAGCTGTGGGTATGGGATCCTTTGTTCTTGTCAGTTGTTGTCGTAGTGTAGCTGTGGGTTTGTGTGTTACCGCGATTCCTAGTGGTCGGAGTAGTCTGGTGGTCATCTCTGATACGTTCTTGATGTGTGGCAAGGTGACTATTGTATCCGGGTGTGCTGTGTCTTCCTGTTGTTGTCTGTTGTGTAAGTTCCGGCAGAATGTGCTTTTTGGGTCGCTGTTGTTCTTACAGATGCTGTAGAGGTGTTCTTCTTCGGCTTTGCACAGTTCCGGGTGCTGCATTGTGTTATGGCTCCTTTCAACAAAGTTTTGATGCAGCTTTGTTTGTGGGTATTGGGGTGGTTGTTGTTGTAGTTAAGTATTTGGACCGTATGGATATCCTTTCTGTATTCGCTGGTCTGGAGCTCACCGTTGGCCCTTCGTTCGACCATTACGTCCAGGAATGGGACTCGGTTGTTGTTTTCCTCTTCCCCAGTGAATTTTATGCCGGTGAGGATGTTGTTGATGAGTTGATGGGTTTCCTCCAGTTTTGTGCGTTTGATGATGACAAATATGTCATCTACATAGCAGACCCATAGTTTTGGCTGGAGTGGAAAGGGCTGTCCGTTCTAGTCTTTGCATTATGGCTTCAGCTACAAGTCCCAATATGGGTGATCCCATGGATGTTCCGTTGATTTGTTTGTATACCTGGCCATTGAAGGCAAAGTGGGTCGTGAGGCATAAATCTAGTAGTTTGAGGGTGCTGTCCTTGCTGATGGTGTTGGTGTTGTATCGGGTCGGCATTACTGGGTCATCCAGTAACGAGTCTAGTGTTTCCTTAACTAGGGGGATATCTATGGAAATAAACAGTGCTGTCACATCAATGCTTCATCGGAAGCGCACTGATGTTACCGAGTATGATGAAACGTCTGCAAACCAACCTTCCAGCTCGGCGACCAAATCAACAACCTCATCCACAATCTGAGCTATCAGTCTTCTCAAAACTTTTACTCTCAATTATACGGGAAATCTATGCACTACCTGTATTCCAGTCTGCGGTCTGTGTCAGAAGCATTTAATTCGCACAACTGTAGGAACCAATTTATTTGTCCAAATGCTCAGAAAATTCCCAATTTACCTCCTTTGTGGTGGATGTTGATGTTACATCAGTCTGTCTGTCTTTTTGGTGAAAAGAATCACCAATTACTTATTTCTTGTTCAACCAGGAACAATTGGAGAAATCAATATTTGTTCTAATTCTAGCCGAGCAATTGAACACCCCAAATCACCACAGACATTCCACTTTCCTGACCCAAAGAACCCGTGAGAGGGAGACTGATGCAGACAGCTTGAGAAGGTCTACTCACTTTGTTTCGCATCTCCACAGCATCTGTGTCAAACTGCATAAAAACTGAAAGAACTGCGGATGCTGTAACTCAGAAACAAAAACAGAAGTTGCTGGAAAAGCTCAGCAGGTCTGGCAGCATCTGTGAAGAGAAATCAGAGATAACGCTCCGGGTCCAGTAACTCCTGAGGAAGGATCACCAGAACCAAAACGTTATCTCTGATTTGTCTTCGCAGATGCTGCCAGACCTGCTGAGATTTTCCAGCAACCTCTGTTTTTGTTTCTGTGTGAAACTGCAGCCGGGTCAATCAGAAGGCTCTTATTGTGCTGAGCTGTCCTGATCCCACAACAAATGGTGCCAGATTGTCCATACTCAATGTCTCCAAAAGGTAGCATTGTTTCATATGCATCAGTTCGGTTCAATTGTACTTTTCTCCAAGCTGCAAACAACGCCTTGCCTTGCACGTTGTTTCCCCTTAAAACAGTTTCCATTTATCTCATTTTCAGTGCACAGCCTCCAAAATAAAAGCTATCTCCTGTCACAATTTCCCCACATATTCCTGGGGAAGAACAACTTGTTTTACTTTCACTCTTGTACTATGCATGCATATCTCTATAACTTTGAGCAGAGAATTGGAAGCATTGTATACATTTGTGAAGTGTCCGTTACCGATTTTGATCTGAATGACCTCACAATAATTTTACATTTGCACCATCATACTTCATATCCTCAGCAAAAAATTCAGCTTCACCATATCTAACCGATCTGCAATTTATTTCTTGGTTTTGCTCCGTAACAGTTGAATTTTGGAACTTTCAAGTAATACACCAAGATACTGTGAAATGCCCTCCTTATTTAACACTTCAACTGCACTGCACTTTTACTAAAAGTGAGATACACCACCACAGACTGCCGAGGTTTAAATTCATGGGACTGACGAACATACCTCCCTTTATGGTTCAGCATTCTTAAGATTAAATTACTAGTTTACAAAAATGAAATACTTTCAAACAAAACTGACCAAGTCACAAGTCAACATTTTTGCTAATATACATCCGGCTCAATTTCATTTCTCATCATTACATTTTTGATCACATTATGAAATAAATTACACATCGCATCAAAAATCTGGTATTTGCATCGCTGGCCCACAGCTGGTTGAGTTTGGAGCATTTATTTGTGTGTGATGTTTTTTTAAACTGCCCTTGACCGGTAACATGAACCGTGATGTGATGATCTCCCAGTGGATGTGGACATAACAATCCCAAACCTCAACAATAAACAATAAACATGCTGATGTAAGAAGCAGAGTCACAGTTTTTTTTTAACTGCAAGGAAATTCTGTCTTTCGGCCATTGTGGTGGTCATCAAGCAACGCTTTATTCTAAGTCCATTTCCCAGCTCTTGGCCTGCAGCGTGTATCCTACATGGTTTCACCTAAATTTTTCTGAAATGTCTTGAGGTTTCCCATCTCTATTGCTTTTTAGCCAGTTAGTTTAAGATACCCACAACCCTCTGGGTGAAATAGAATTCCTCAAATCCCTCTAAACCATCTGCTCCCCATCTTAAAAGTGTGCCCCTTGTTATTGATGCCTCTGATGTTAGGAAATGTTTATCCCAAACTGATGTATCTATGCTCCTTATATGTGTACAATCTGCAGCAATGGACTTTTAATATGATGAGGTTTGAAACAAATTAACAACTTTGGAAAATGGTAAGACACTGGATATTTGTAATTAATTAGATTTTCAAATGCAACTGAAGTATGGGGCTGATGGAAAGTTTGAGTTAATATTTATCTTGATTCCATCCCTGTGATATTAAAGACGTGATATAAATCCACATTGTTATGCTTTGAACATGGAATAGCATTAGAGTACGACATCGTTAAGAATTTTTTCTTTCCTTTGAGGTTCATCCTGAGCCAGATTTTTAAGTACATTGTATTTAACCTGTTATAAAGTCATAGAGTTATACACCACGGAAACAGACCATTCGGTCCAATTCATTCCTGCTGATCAGATATCCAAGATTAATCCAGTCCCATTTGTCAGTATTTGACCCATATTCCTCTAAACCCTTCCCATTCATGTGCCCATCCAAATGCCTTTTAAATGTTGAAATTGCACCAGCCTCCACACTTCCTCTGGCACTTCAGTCCATTGATGCAGCAGAGTCTGTATGAAAACGTTGCTCCCTATGTCAATATTAAATGTTTTCCCTTTCACCTTAAACTTATCCCCTCCAGTTTTGGACTCCTCTATACTGTCACCCCTCAGCCTCTGACACTGCAGGGAAAATAGCCCCAGTTTGTTCA